TCCATCTTCTATTTTAGCGTCCTCTTCTTCCCGCATGCTCTGTCATTCCCTCTTCATCCAACTTAACCCTAATCCTGACTCTAAGCCAACTAAATTTTATTAGGGAGCTGAGGACAAGGAGTAATATTGGAGGAGGAGAAAAGGAGACTAAAGAAGATTGGAATAGTTGAGGAAGGAAAAAGAGGAGAGGAAAATGATAGTTTGGTAATTACTCATATATAATTACTAATAATCCGAGTATAGTTAATGGATTCGTGTGGAGAACAAAATGGAGGGACTAATTTCAAACTAGTTACAAGGTTTGGGGAACTAATACAATATTATTATTAAACATTAGAGGGACTGAAATAGAAATAACCTCACTTAAATTATCATTAGGTCTCCCATTCCTAAGTTATTTTCAAATTGGTCCCTTCAATCCTTGAAATTGCTTTTGGCCTTAAATATTTTTAAGCTGTTTTGAAATTCACTCCATAAAAAATAGAAGTAACAATTAGAGAAATTAATTTGAAGCAACTCAAAGAGTTTCTAGACCTCATAGCAACTTCAATTATTTGAGAGACAACTTACAATATATAAAAGATTTAACGGACTAACGTCTAAAAATCCTGTTTTAAATTATTAACCGAGATGCACGTTGGGGGGTAAAAAAAAAAGAAGTAAATTTACCAGGTTAAATCAAGTTTCTCTGCCTCTTATAGTAAAATCTATTAACACTTCATCTTGAATGAAGACTAAAGGGCCTGTTTTGACAAGTTGAGTTAAACTGATTAGGCGGAAGAAAAACCTATGAAAAATTAATCATTAATCCTAGTTTGGCAAATAAAAGTAGCCATGTGAATGATCAGAAACTACCCATTGATATCTTAGGCTGATACTTTCCTTGTATTGAAGGGCCACAAAAATATTAATCTCCTTTACAAAACAACAAAGCTATTGAGTATAATAGCCGAAAAGAAAGCCATACACTGTATGACAATGAAGTGAGTATGAATAATTATTACAAAACCTCACACAGAGAGCACATTTTGTAGGTCTTTCGTGAGATCATCTACATCGACAACTGCTGGCTCCTTTTTCTCAGTAGCATCCTTGAGAACAGGATTTCTAAGTTCATGGAGCTGTGTGTTTAATTCTTCGATCTGCTTCTTTATTTTCCCTCCTGAATCTGGTAGTCTTGAAACTAACGCCTGGGTTTTTTTGGCCAAAGAACAGAATCATCTTGTTAAAAAACCATATGAATAATTAGGGTTATTTGCACTTAAATACCTCCTAGTTAATCCATCAAGTTTTTCTTGTGCAAAAAATACCCCAAAATTTACCTCAGTTTTGATTTTGACACGACAAAGTTTTTTCCCAAAAATTACATGGAAGTTCAACAACATTTATATTTTACACCCCAAACTATATTAAAAAAATAACTTTGATACCCAAAATTGTAACAAAAAATTTACGCTTGGGGTATCAAAGTTGTTTTCTTGAACTTTGGGATATATTGTGAGGTTAAAAAGTTTGGGGTATCAAAGTCAAAAGCGAGGTAAATTTTAGGGGTATTTAAGTGCAAATAACCCGATTATTAATGAATCCAATGAGAGGAATCATATGAAGTTCGCATACCTTGTTGGCCAGTGTCTGAGAAAGACGTTTGATTCTATCTTCAATGATTTCTGGACTATCTCCTTCATTTGCTGAAGAGCTGGCAGGACAGACTCTAGTAGCGAACTCTTTTGGCTTGAAAGCATGATGAGCCCTAAAATTATATTGGAAATATTCTACTTGTTAACGATGGACTTGAACGCCACAAATTATAGTAGCAAAAAAGATTTTGAACATTTTCATACCCATCGACAGCAAGTTCAAGTGATGATCCTGATGGTGAAGTTCTGAAAATTCTGTTCACTGGCTTACTGCAGAAAGTTTTACCACAAACAATTAACATATTGTGGTATATGACAAGTAATCTCATCTATCTTATAAAGTTAATCAAGTAGATTCATAGTTACATTTTGAAACATAAGTTAAATTATTCCTTTCAATACGTTTAATATCATAGCTGGTTCATTAATTCCATTTGCATAAATCAGTAACATAAATCTGGATCAAAATGCCAGTCCAACTTAGTATCATGTATACATACATGCTAAGTATATCATACTCAAGTTCAATGAGTTTTCAAAAGGTTGCAAGCAACAAATTGAAGAGAATGAGATAGAAAATGACCTATGTACTTCATTATTCTCAGGCACAAATGGTACTATTGCATTCTTGGAAAAGAGCAGACTATGGTGGCTGACACCAGCGATACCCTGTCTCTCTAGAAATTCTATGTGACACTTCAAAGAGGCATCCCTGTATGTGGCAAAATATTAACTTCAGCTGTTTAATTGCAGAAACTTACATGTTGAGTTAGTGATACATTAGGCGAAGCCTAAATCTGTCAACAATTTAGTAAAAATGTCCAGAAAATAACAGATATTGACGATCCAGGGTAAATGAGTTATTTACATAACAACTCAAGAAACTAGAAAAAGGTAATAAACAGTTCCAACTTCCTTTGTAGGTGCAAGGTGAACCTCAGACACAAGTTCGTAAAAATAGTTTGAAACAAGAAAAAGAAAAGGAAAGAGAAATGATCTCGATTAATATGGGGATTTCCTCCATGCCACCTTTCAACGTATACAATGATTTAAGTATCATATATCTCCATGAGACCATGTACTAAAATATAATTAAAACTGAAGAAATCAAGTGCAAGTATTTAAAATTAAGGGGATTGGCCAAATCAAAAAAATTAATATAGAAAATTTTGGAGCTCCAGAAAGTTCAGGAAAATGATGGTGGATGGTATTAAAAAAACCCATAACTTTGTACAATTTTCAGAGGCACAGGGGAGCACACATAGAAGCCGCATCAGATCAGTTAGGATCCTGAGAAGGATGGATTTTAAGAAAATAGTTCTATATAAAAATTGCAAAAAGAAAATAACAAATGCAACATATTGTCTAACTGAATAAGAACAAGTATCTAATATGAGACAAATCATTTTCAATGCAGATCCAACGACATTAGAGAAATTGGTGTTCTAATAGATTTGCTTACAATAGTCACGCAATTAAGAAAAGGTTCTTATATGCTTGTTTTAAGTAATAAAATGGCTTCATAATGTTCAACATGTGATCTTTCGATTTTATAAAAACTCAAAAACCAGCGTAGTAGGAGTGCCTTATCAATGTCATGCAGTTGTGATTATTAGACATCTCATGCATGGACATGGAACTCAATTTGAAGAGCCCGTGCTTCATTGATCAAATAACACAAAGTTGAGAACATGACTTAAAAGATAATTCAAGGAGATCCCACAAAGGAATAAACTCAACCTCCAAAAACATTATCAAAGTGCATCAGAAAATAAATAAATGAATAATATGAGAGTTCTTCAGCCAGGAAGCTTAGATGATATCAACTATATACTTTAAATACATCACAAAGAAATCTTTGCTTTCCCAAAAAAGAATAACATACATGTTTGTAATGACTTATCACTGTTTAGTTTTAACATAATAGGTTTGATTTATAACATAATATTAGTATCAATAATTTGTTGTATTAACATTTATTTTTTCGGGGTATATAGTAGAAAAAATAATTTCACTTTTTAAAAATTCATAACACTATACAACCTATTTTATTGAAAATTTACTGAAGTGAAACTCGAAATCCAAGGAAGCACAAGGAAGCATCTAGAGAAAGCACAAAAGTTACCAATATAACTTTCTAAATTTCTAAGTATAATTTTCTTTTGGTAAGACAAATGTAACTGAGAAGTGTGCCTAGTTGCCAAGTGGTTAGACTGAGTGACAAGGAAGTCAAGTAATTGTTAGACGGCCACCCAGACATCACAAAAACCCGGTTTGAAGAGTTTAGTGCTTTTTGCAGTGGAACCTACATCCAAACTAATTCAAATTGTGAGTAGATAGACTAAATGTATTATTGGAACAAGCACACAATAGAGAAGTTAGTGTGCAGCTATCTATCATAGAGAAGAATTGTGATATTTTTTTGGCACCTACAGAAATATTAAGCAAATTAGATCATTTGATGTCAAGAAACAAATGATAACTGGCTCTAATCCAGTGCATGAATACTGCTTGAAGCGATTGCTTGTAGAGTGAAATGGATAAATGTGAATAGAGAGACGAACAAAGAAATAGATGAGCAATTACATATCATGCTGCTGGCCATGCTCTTCAAATAACTCCTGCTGAGTAATGGAGATATCAAAACCCTGTTTTGGCAGGCTAAAAATCTCACGGATATCCTGAAAATGGTTAGCAAGAATAATGATTATGATGATAGACATAAAAATTATAAAATGTAACCGTTAAGAGCATATCTAGAAAATATGTAATAAATTAGAAGCACAAATAAAATATACCAGTCGCAGATATCACTCTGATAGTTGTTCCAAATTCACTATGCTGTGAACCCAAAGATAAGATAGTGGTGAACATACCTTCTGGCTGAAGTATCTCATCTGTTCTTTTTGCTCTGTTGCAGTTCTAAATAGACCTCCTTTAAAAACCTGCAAGAGTTTAACAAAGTTTTAAGCATCAGAATTTCTCATATGTCACATATATAAAGGTTGACCAAGGCACAAGGATCATATGCACCATGCAGTTAAAGTTAGCCTAAGATGTGAACCTGCAGTAAGTTTAAGTACATACACTTACAAAAGCTAAAAAGAAACTGTCAATCACATTATGTAATCAACTGCCAGTATATCTGTTCAAGTCCTACATAAAACTTATGTGTCCGTATGTACGTATACATAAAATACACAAAAAAGTACTCGCACTTAAATCTTTCACGCTATGTACAATACTGAAGATTGACCCTGTCTCAAGCTCAATGCGTCCTACTCTTCACTTGTTCTCATCCTAAGTTTCCCTTGTTCACTTAAACCAGGATGTACCATGCTGCAAGACTGCTACCTGGTTGTAGGAGTTTTAAATGCATAACCATGAGAAGCTAGGATCAGTAATGCAAAATGGGATTCAAGCAGCCTTTAAAACATTTTGGGCCCTGAGCCGTTAAGCTTAATGCAAAAAGCAGTGGGTTTAAAAGGCACTGCTTCTTTTCACTTTGCTGGGTGGCACAGAGTACTGTAAGAGTTCTTCAAAACGACTTAAGGCACGAGCTTTATCTTTTCATTAAGCAAATCGTCCAGTTAACTTCCACCCTTGCTTACTGATGTCTTTACTCTTTAATTCACATATTCATTGATATATCCTCTATCAACATATTTTACTCCATGTAAACTCTAAAACCGATGTCATTTTAGATTTCTAACTGGTTTTGATTAGTTTACCAACGTTTCTGATTTCTCTATTTTTCTTCCTTTGCTTCTTTGTTTTATTTTGAACACTTTCAGTTTCTTTTTCCCCTTTTTCCACTAAACAACATAATTTGTGGTGTCCTTTCAAAAACTTTCATAATCTGTGTTACAGAATGCCAAGGAAATACAACAGAACATGAGAACATTTGCAATTTGCAAATACAATAATTTTTGTGATGAAATTATGTTTTTCTATTTATCCTAATCAAAGTAAAAAGTACATATATTGAAGAAATATTCAAACCTGCATTTTATATATCTTTTCTTCAATTGTTCCGCATGTCATCAATCTGTATACAATAACATCTCTCTTCTGCCCGATTCTATATGCACGATCTACACTTTGATTGTCCGTACTGAATAAACAACAAAAAGTTTAACAAAAAAAAGTGGAACTTACAGTATATTAAAAACAAAAACTGTATTCAGCAAATGAAATGCAATTCCATAAAGGATTAGATCGGTATAGGATGCAGGAAGGAAGCAACGAATTGTTGCATTTGACATGCCCAAACAACTGATGTTTATGGCACAGAAGAACGCCTAGGAGTCATTAGTCTTTTTAACCAGAGAAATTAACTTCTTTACCATAGAAGCATTGATTGGTTTTGAACTAAAACAAATATAAAATATATCCTGTAAGTTTCTAGTTATATAATCTGAGTATTGCCAAAGAAAAACATGCACATTTAATTTAAGTCGCCAAAGTAAATTTAAAAGAAATATCTAGAGTACATCTGATAACTTTGCAGGGAAGTAATAAAGCACAAATAAGTCAAAAAGTTTAGCAACAGCTCAGCAAATAATAAAGCATGCCTATGCAACCTCCAATTGTCCTAATAAACTGACAGCAACAAATAAACACAATCGAAGGTAAAATCTATTAATATCTGGGGAATATCATTGAATTATAAAAATCTAGAGCAGAAATTATATTATAAAGGATATAATATTGACTCAAAAAATCACCTATACATCTATTCAGCTACTGCCAGCAAGCCAACAACTATATACACCTCATCAATAAAAATAGTAGAAATCTGTCCTATTTGAATTCTTATCACCTTGGGTTCCATGCTGGATCAACTACAATGACACGATCTGCTTTTGTTAGCGTAAGGCCAAGGCCACCAACCTGTGATGTCAACAAGAAAATAGGAGCTCCAGAACCCTCTTGAAATTCCTGAAAAATAAACAGTACTTGTATAAGACGGATAGAAGAACAAATGCACGATAAACCCATGCAACTCTTCAGACATTCTAATTAAAAATGATGTTTACCTTCACTGTCCGCTCTCTATCAGAAACTTTTGTGGTACCGTCAATTCGCATATACTTGTATCCTGCTGATATAATAGCTTCCTGCAAAAGAATAGCAAATTAAGGATGAAAAAGAACAATCAAACTCAATTAGAGAGGCAATACACATACATTTTCATCCATAGAAGGCTTCTGAAAAGGCAAAAAGAAGGAAGATAATGTTCCTAGATAACCGACAATGGTTAACAAACTGGTAAACTAATCTAATCCCCTTCCATCCGCCCAAAAAAGGAAGAAGCAGCATGCAGTATTTTCCATGTGGAACAGAAGCACACGATCCTTGTAGATTTATGGTGAAAATTGAACAGAGGACCTTTTGCTTCTAGTGCTTTAATGCCCCTTTATACTCTAAGTTGAAGCTGACGAATTGTTGGCTAACGATTATTTCAGTAGCAGTATCAAATAATAGCAAATTCCAAATGAAAGCTAACTGAAACAAGTTACAGTGTTTGAAAGACAGATAATGCATAAGGTTAACATAAAAGGGGTAAACCGTAAAGCTAAGGACATGGCTACCAAGAAGGCATAAGCAGGATCTAAACATAATTCTCGAAGATTAACGCACATAAAAGGAAATAGGTGACATGAAACAATGGAACAGGGACTGATGAGTAGAGGATGAATTTTATCAGATGTAATCTTGGACAAAGAAAATAAAATAAGTAGTAAGTACATGAGTGTAAGATATAAAAAAAAGATAAATGCATGAAGTAATTAAGGTATATGAAGAACGGTGAAAGGGGTTCCCGCAATTTACAAAGAAAAACTCAAGCAACATATGAATATGAATCAATTTTATTAGATGTAATCTTGGACAAACAAAATAAAATAAGTAAATACGTGGACTTTTAATTTACAAATAAAAATTCAAGAATCTAAGTTCTCATGATTGTACCATGTGTGTTGTTTTAAATCTCCGTGACATGTCCTCACATGCCTAGCAGGGGTGTCATTTATGAGGGCCTATGTCCCTGACATTTTGCCTTATGTCCCCAATATGGTTCACACATGAAATATAAGTGTCCTTGTTCGCTTATTTGTTTACTTGTTCCATATGTTTATTGCCTATAAGCAATAATGTGCTATATATGGATCTTTATCTTATTTTCTGTTTGTCATATGGCCTAAAAAGCCTTCTTTGAACACACTTATACTTAAAATCTATAATTTTATTAGAATAGATTAAAGTGAGGATACTCAGCACATTGTATGTTATATGTATACCTTTCAATCCATTATGGTGTCTCACTTAATAAGCTAATATATCTTTATTTTGCCCAACATCGCCTATGCAACGTGTGATCCCTCCAGCATCCATGTCCCCAACATCACCATTTAGAACCTTGACTGCAAGAGATACCAAGGTCTTCTCCAAGATGTACATGGATCGTAATCAGGTCAAGCAAAGTGAAGCTTCGTTGGACACGTATTTATACTCTTGATAGCACACGGAATATGTGAATACCATAGAGTTAATTAGATGACCAACATGGTTTTAATATTTCTTTTAAGGGTGTTCGGAAGCACCAGCAAGTAGTTAAGTAATACGCTACATCAGCTAAAAAGAGAAATTGGCTTTAGAAGAACCCTTGATACAAATGGTTTCCACAGGAACACATGTTTAACTCTGTAGCATATGTACTAAATAATAATATTATCATGGATGGTGGACCGCACTTTCAGCTTAACATTTCTTAGTTTAGTAACCCTAAAGACCTTAACTAATCATGCTCTAGTTAAATGTTCCAATTCTTATAGATTGTTGATTTTGACTAGGTAACCCTTGTTTTAATAATTTCCCTTAAAGATAAAAATTTCCCTCATAATGACAATTTAAAGCATTCTTACATCTGATAATCAAGAAACTCAGATAATACAATACATATTAATTAGAGGTGGGGGTGGGGGTATAGGTATCAGGTATGCAGGCATATGATCTTGGAAGAATTCTTTTACATGAAACAGTTTATCTGTCATAACACTGTGAGCCATTTTGATGCTGTCAACACGGAGGCAACTAATGTATCATAAACTTATAGGTTTTGCGTGTTCAGAAATGCACTACCAGCATTCATCTACAAGTAAAATAACAAAACACCCAACTTCATCAGTTAATGTTAAGTCAGAATAGACTATACTTAGGGAACGCTACAAAATAGGAGATACGTAATTAATAGAAATTTGCTTCATGCTATTTCTAGCATGAGCATAATGGACAAGCATTTACATTAGCAGTATACACACAAGAACAAGCACCAAATAAGAGCATCTAGTAGCACATAGATCCTCTGCTCTGAATCGCATCCTGGGCCACCATCAATATTTTAAAAAGCTCCCACCTAGCCTGCCCCGGCTCCCGCCTAGGCCTAGGTGGTACCTAGGCGGCCTAGGTCCTGAGAGCACCTAGGGTAGCGGAGACCACTTACTCAGACTACACTCCTTAGGTTTTGTTCGTGATTTCCTTTGTTGTTGCATTCACATTCTCTAACCTCCTCCGAACTCATTTGTCGGCCTCTACCGACTATGAACACTTTCTCCAACTCTATCCTTCAGCAAAACCTCCTACTCACCATTTAAGCAAGAAAAATCATTCTTCTTAGGCCTAGCGCCTAGGCGCCAACTTGGCACCTAGCAGTGCTTAATGCATTCGATAACATTGATTTACAAAATAAAAAAAGGAAAGTGCCTAGGCCCCATCTAGACACCAAGGCCTTAGGCGCTGGGTTCGATGCCTAGGCCACCTAGCGATTTCTCTTACCTTAATGGATGTTAGGTGCTTGCCGAGGTGGGGACAATGCCCAAACCGTCCGGACTATCTATAGGCAACACTAGACTGGCGCTAATGACGTCAAGCACGAAGCATAATTGGGACAACTCTCTTAATAGACTACCCCCATGTAATTTAAAAAAAAAAACTCGAGAAAGCGTCCAGTGGATCTGGTCTATGGCATTAAATATGCACCAAAGGTATGTCAACCATTGAATTTGTGCACGAATGCCAAAGTTTAGTGATCCAAAGGTTGACAACCCTTTGGTGCACATTTAATGACATGGACTGGGTCCACTGGATACTTTCCACCAAAACTTAGCCCAATAAGTTAAGTTTCCGGTTTTGTATCTAATTAACTAGATCCAAACACATTTATCAATAAAAGCTTAAGAGAATAGAAAATCCTATTAAAACCATAATTACTACAGTTGTGAATATTGTACTAGTGTCAGTTATGTTAAATAGATAATATTTTAGTTTGACTAAATTAAATATATCAAAATATACCAAGGTAAATGACACAGTTCAGAGAGAGGGGGGCAGAAGGGAGAAAGAGAAAACCTGAATAAGGTTCAGCATTTTACGAGTTTGAGAGAAGATCAATACAATATGTCCCTCTTCAAGCAGGTTATCCTGTCATACAAGCAGATAGTTTCAGAATTTTAAACATATGTTGTCATGTTAAATTAAAATAATAAGAAAAGCCTCCTGACCAGCAAAGTCATTATAAATAATATTTTGCATGAAACATTGTGATCCAGTTGTTGAACATCATCATTGGCAGTTATATTTGCCAAATTTTTTGCCATTTGCTCCACCATACCAAGCTCATCATGATTCAGCATCTCATCCATCCCTTCGAGAACACCTTCTGCAGCCTTTTTGGTCAATAGAAGTGGGTGGTCGCATATCTTCTTCAATATCTGATCCAAAGAAAAGATGAAACAATTAAGTCTGAAACAAACCCACCGCACAAGTCATATTCAGACATAAACAAAATCATAAACCATAATACATAAAGCATCAGAACCCAGAAGACTATACATAACAAATACATGTAAAACAATTAGAAGGACAATTTTATGTGAACTTGACTTCACTATAAAATTAATTAGGAAAAATTATTGGAATCACAAATAAATTTCCCATCTTTAGTTTGTTGTTAAGTACTTATTGTATTTAAGAAAGGCATTCCTTTACGCTTAATTTCACTACAAATTAATCAGGGAAAAAAGATTTGCATCGTAAGTAAATTTCTCTTCTTTAGGTTGTAGGAAAAAACATTGGCATCATAAGTAAATTCCCCATCTTTAGTTTGTTGTCAAGTACTTATGGAATTTAAGAAAGCCATGTCGTTTATGCTTAATTGCACTATAAAATTAATCAGCTAAAAAGATTTCCATCGTAAGTAAATTTCCCTTCTTTAGGTTATACCCTTGAAGTAAAAACTTTAAAAGAATTAGATAAGCAGAAAAATGAGAAAATGAGAAGATACAGGGATCTCATGTATGAAAGTAGTCAATACCCTGGGATATTATCCAAATCTAAATTAAAATAAATGAGAAGAGGCCTCAGTCATAGAATATATTTGCGAACTGTTAAAAAAAAGGTAAATCTTACAGTTAATGCAGCTAATGGTGAGCCACCATCCATAGATGAATGAACCCAATCACTCTTCAAAAAAGCTTCATAAAGTTGTCTCTGCATTCAGAAGAGCACATCTTCGTAAAAGTGTTTAAGATTGATTTCCTGTAATAAGCAGTGAATGCAACTAAATGTTAAGGTATGAGATAATAAAAAAGGGTACCTGACAAGTTGTCAATTTGAGCCACACAATCATCTCATGTTTTTTTGAAAGTTTAGCACTACTTGCATCATCATTATCAACAAATACTTCGCTCTTCAAGCGTCGTAAGAAATATGGCTTTATGCGGTTTCTTAATTCCTGCAAGTGAAACAAAAGCATGAGTTTCAGATCCTAAGGTACTTATTTGTAGTAACACGTACATGCACAGGGAACATTTGGCACTACCCAATGGACTAGGAGGCATATTGGCAAAAACCACTACAATCGGGAATAATTAAAATTAGCTAGATAACAAGATGAACAATTCAGCACATATTATGCATCAATTGTACACAAGCCAAATGGATATGCACTTGAAACAATGCCACTTCTTGTTGCCACTTCTGATTCATTTTAGTCTCTCCATACTTACTCAGAAATCATTCGTTAAAATTTGAGGCTAAAACAAAAGCATGTGTGTTCACTTAGACTATAACAACACTATATGAGACCTAAAATATATTCTTCATGAATTTGAAGAGAACCTAGCAATGTTTCATAAAATAAATGATGAAACAAACTAAATATAAGATTCAGTCTTTTTTCATATTGAATCAGCAGCGATATTGAGGCAAAATTTGAATAAATAACACTAGATTTTTGTGTTGGAAAAGATCATCATTATCATCCTCAAAACCTTCTCACTTTGAATGGGGTTGGCTATGGAGCATAAATCAGAAAAATTGGTGATGTATTTGAACAGTCTTTACTCCTGACATCAGTAGTTTCATAGGCTACATATAGAACAGTGTGAAATTTGCAAGTACCTCTTAATACCTTTGCAACTGTAGACCCGACATATTTTTCTCGATCAGAAGCATGTTTATCATTCCCACGCAGTATCTTATTTTCATATTTCACTTTAAACCTAAAAAGAGATGAAAAGGTTTAATGTGTATGTATCCAGAAGGTTACAAAAGTCTCTAAGATAACCAAAAATGAACCATACTCATCCTTGTCACCCAAAACAGCCGGGCAACAGAAATGAAACAAAGCCCAAAGTTCCTGCAGAAATCAAACAGAAACATTAATGACCTGATCATAAAGGAAATATATAATTCTTGAAAGAGTAGATAATAGAACCAATATCAGAATGTCATTCCAAAGTTAAAACTATCACCTTAAGATTGTTTTGTATCGGTGTGCCACTAATAATAATGCGATGAACACATGGTATTTCTAACAAGCTTTGTGCTCTTTGAGTCTTCGGATTTTTTATGATATGCCCCTGAAATAAAAAGAAAGAAGAGACAACAAGCCATGTTTAGAAGAGAGAGTTTTATGAAGCAATCCTTTTGAATAGAATATAGATGGATATACCTAAAAACACAAAAGTAAATAGATTCTATGGAAACTATAAGGAGATCAGGATGAAGTGCAGTTCAGTTCAAATCAAGGTAAGGGCTACAATAACAATAGAGGATCAAACATAAAATTGCTAGAAGCTAGAAGTAGTATGATCCAAATAATAAAAAGCCTCATTTGAACAGCTAAATTGAGTATCATAACAAGATGAGTGACAAAAAATTATCAATTAACAATTTCACATGAAAAATGTGATTATATTTTGGTCTGAATGTGGGTACGTACATTTGAAAGTGATTAATAGACAGACCTGCTTCTAAAGAAGTAAAGCAAAAGATAAGGAGATAGACTACGAAAGAGTGGCTGATAAATGGGAAGCATTTTAAGAAAGAAAAAAATATATTGTATGGAAAAATTGATCAAGTTGATCAAGAAGCCACCAACCTCGTCAAGCACAACATAATCCCATAAGTTATTATCCTCATTTCCGTCTTCATAAACATACCGATCACCTCGTATAGACTTAAAATTGTTCCTCACAATATCATAAGTTGTGAGAAGAATGCCACTATCCTGCTTAAGAGAACCACAAAATTTAGTAAAAGGTCATTCTGATAGATATTATGAAGATGTGTAATAACGTGATTACCTTTAGGCATGTAGATATGTGATGATAGGTTGAAACTTGTCAAGAAAAATGAAAGGGGAGGTACCTGGAGGATATACTGAAGTTCATAGTCTCGCACTTTTGGAGAAGCTCCAGAGTAACTGCATGAACAAAAGTAAAATGTAACAAAATTCCACATAGTCCAGCATTTGCAAACTTCTTAAATTATAAGATATGAGTCTCACTCCCTAATTTTTCCAGAGAGCCCCACCACTGACAACTCTTTCATCCAGTGAGCAATAAGTGTTTTGGGGGCGACTATCAATACCCTCATAATCAAATGAGAATGAAAAAGTCCAGACAAGAAGGCAGCAACCTGGACAAATAGTGAAGCCATCAACATGTAACAAGATCACAGCCCTACACTCAAAAGTACATTGAAGAAACATATTTGTGCTAAATTGTCAACTTATGGACAACTCCACATATATTCAATAATCTGAGACATATATTGTTAGTAATCAAGTCGACTAAATCATATATAAACAGAATGTAATCAATTGCACTGTTATATCCATGTTTTTTCCATCAACGCATTAAAACATCATGACATTAGAAAGATCAACAAGACTTTGACTTGCAGCAATGGACAATACTAGCAGGTAGCAAAGTCATGATGCCTTAAGGGCCTGTTTGGATTTGTAGGGGGTGAAGGGAAGTTAAGGGAAACTGAGTGAAGGGAAGGGAAGGGAAGGGAAGGGAATTCCTTTCCCCTTGGTTACACCCCAATTTGGGGGGTAACAATTTTTATACTATTAGGGGGTGAACCAAGGGGAACTAGGGTGAATTAACTTCACCTCCTAAGTGTTCCCAAACAAGGTGAATGGAAGTGAATGGTTCCCCTAACTTCCCTTCACCCTCATTCCCCTCAATCCAAACAAGCCCTAAATGAGACTTGATCTCCTACAGAGTGTTATGACGTCATGAAGTTAAAACCAGGTTTCATGCAGTAGAACTAGAAATCGGGAGCTATTAATGATAAATATTTCAATACGCTGAATCCATCATGACATTAAAACCAGGCTTCATGCAGTAGAACTAGAAAGCAGGAGCTATTAATGATAAATATCTCAATACACCGAATCCATTACTTCAAACCACATCAAATCAAGCCAAGACAATAACAAGGAAGGGCTTCCAAATAACAATATTAAAGGCAGTTACCCAAAACCAAACCGCCTTGAGAAAGGTAGAAAGCAAAAACAAAATGTTGATTAAAGAAATATGTCATATAATATAGCTAAAAAGGCAACCAAGTGAGGAAATCACTCAAAAATTGGGATGCTTCAGGAAAGAAATCATTGAAATTCAACAGGCCAATGCTGCCAGAACGTCACTTGCAAGTATTAAAAATAGTGGGATGCTTCGCATGGTCTCGACAGAAGAAATATATCATATAATACTGTTAAGATCTACCCAATATGGAACTTGAACAAAAATTTGGAATTTCGGATGCTTTGCGTGGCCTCCACGGCAACAAAACAAATCATGAATTTGTTAATAAGTTCTCCAAAGAATTTCTACATGCCAATGTCATTCACAAAAAGTTCAATTTTAAGTATTTAACAAGGTATTTAGTTATACCTGCATTGTCTTGCCCAATCCCATATCATCCCCTAAAATCCCTCCAGTTGCGGCACAGTGCAGACTCCAAAACCATTTCAGCCCCTCTCTTTGATGAGGATACAGCATCTTTGCCGTGTTACCGGGAAGCACATACCTCTTGTTTTTACTACCCCCAGCCCAATCCATAACAATATCGTCATTATCTCCATCATCATCATCATCATCATCGAAAACATCTATCAAACTGTCACCAAACTCTCCCTCTTTCACTTTCTCTTTCCTATTGCTCCCCAAAACAACACACTCATCATCATCATCATCATCAAGAACCAGAGAACCAAAACCTTTCCCTTTCCCTTTCCCTTTCTCATCTGAAGACACAGAAGGTGAAGACGGAGCACTCTTGAACTCCTCCAACGGTTCCATTTTGTCAACTCCCGATGCAGGCCTCGGCCTCGCCTTCGGCTTCTCCACCGAGAGCGACTCCAATCTGAAGCTGAGATCATCCAAAATATCCCTGATGTTTTCTCCACGCCGATCATTCTCCTTCTCCCTCACCGGAGAATCGCACAGCTCGTCATTTAGGTCATCGTCGTCGTTGTCATCTCTTGTCGGCGATTTCAGTTTGCAGAGGCGGCGGTGGCCTTCGAGTTTGACCTTACGAGCCTTAATTTCTGAAAAAGGAAGGAGTTTTAGGTTTTCAATCGGAACGATCGTTAGGGTTAGGGTTAGGGTTTCTAGAGGGGCGAGAGCGAGAGAGACCCTGGAGAAGGAGCTGGTTGCGCTCGTTGAGGCTGAGGGGTTTCCTCTCGGTCTCATCCGCCATCAGAGCAGAAGAGAATAAGATCGCTAGGGTTTTGTTTTTTGATCGGAAATTGAGAGTTTAGGGGGAGGAGTGATGAGGGTTTAATAAGATGGGAGGAAATGGGAAAAGGGTAATTATTTGTCGGCGTTGGGATGCGATCTGATTAGTTCCCGCTTTGCGTTCGATTTCAAATTGCAAACGGGAGGATGCGTTCTTGATATTTTTCTGCAGGCTTTTTGCGCTGTTGATCGCCAGATTTCGTACTTTTTTTCAACGTCACCCCTCACAAATTTCTGTTTAACTCAATGTTAGATGTTAGATAATTCTTTTATTTACCTACTCCTATGTACAAATGCGAGAAATTTATGCTATAGTAAATACTACAGTGAATATTAATGCAGCATTATTACTGTAGCACAAATTACTGTGACAAAGGCGGAAACTGTAGCGTTCTTCGAAGATACTATAGCATTAATATTATAGCACGGGTATACTGTAATCTATTCTACCTTTAAAAGAGCAAGTTCCTGAAAAACTCTCTCCTTCCCAAATTAACCTTCAACCCTTTTAAATATACCCTATTTCTCCCTTGTAAGCCATATAGCAATTTCGTCATCTGCATCAGAAAATCCCCTTGTCCGTTACACCTTTCTCTCCGCCGAAGCCAAAGAGACCTTCGGTTAGCCTTCTCGCCGTTCCACGATCTTCCAGTCACCTTCCTCTACGCCGAAGCCGAAGAGTCCATCGGTTAGTCTTCTCTCCGTCCCACGATCGAAGCCGATCTTCCAGTCGTCTTCCTCTCCGCCGAAGCCAAAGAGTCCATCGATTAGCATTCACTACGTCCCAGGATCTTCCAGTCATCAATTTGCAAAGATGAGTATTTATGCCCTAATCATCAATGCGACACCTACGCATTCATCTCCACAATTTTCAGAATTTGGGCATTCAGGAAGGTATTTCTTCTTCTTCTTCAATCCTCTATACAAAACTCTATATCTAAGTGTTAGTTCTGCTCAATTCACCATATCCCCTTTAAGTTCTTAAGTCCTCTCATTTTGTTCTAATTTAGCCCTAATTCTCCGCCTTCACCTACTTATTTTACTCATTTTGAAACTTCTGCTATTTGTGGAAGTGCTATTTTGCAAGCTTCCGGTTTGTTTAGTGTGGTCTTAGAGTAAGTAGATGTGCTACTAAAAATAACAAAAGAACATGTTGCTTGTGACAGTTGATTCAATTACATCTTATACTACATACATGGAGCATGCTTTTAAAATATTTTTTTTTAAAATAAGACTGAATATAAAAATCTCCATTTCTTTCTTCTAGAGGTCATCCTATAATAGCTTATTATCTGGTCCTTTATTATCTTAATGTTCTAGATTCTTTTTTAATGAAAGCATTGAGAAATATACTGTTTTATGCAAAGAAGAAGAAAGAAACACGTATAAATGCAGCTATGGACCTATAACAAACTTCTTTCATCCGACTGCACGCATGCATATTTACATCCCCATCTGTGTTTGATTACCATCCAGAGTTCCCCCAAACAATTCAGTAGAATACTACCTCCCTGGTATCAGAGAGATCGAGTTATATAACGAAGTGTTTGAGGGAACTCCCGGGGATAAGCAACATGTTTGTAGTATTCATCAAGTAATTCCAAACCTATGAGGAAAATGTTGATTGCCCGCCAGAGTTCCCCCATACACTTCAATATTAGAGACGAAACGTCCTCAATATATACTTCGGATATCTTTATTGAAGTGTCTGAGGGAACTCCAGAGGACAACCAACTTATTAAAGTCACACCTAAATAAAACACACTCATGCGGTCTCCTTAAGAAAATCGAAAGACTTCTCTAATGCAGTCCATGTACAAGAAACAAAAAGGCATTAAGGTTCGAGGACTGAACCTAGCCATGTTTATAGATCAGGTGGAAGAAAAAGAATCATGCGTACCTTTAGTTTTCACCATCCTTTTCTCTATTATGTGTCTCTGAGGCTGTGAGTCCTTTTTTTTCATTTTTGTGGACATGCATGTCAAGCCACATAATTCTTTGTACCCAAAAACCTTATTGTGGAATGTTAATTATGGGTGTTTAGGCTCTCACATGTGATTTTGATTGGAACTGTACGTTCTGAGCTTCTTGAGCTTATTTGATCCCCTCATAATTTCAATATACCCACCTAACGGTGTGACAAGGGATAATAATGTCAGAAGTTTTGGGGTGTTTCTGAAAATAATATTGAAAGTTAGAAGGTTATGTGGAATGGGGTTACTGTTGGGATTTTTTTTAGTTCTGCTCAATTCACCCTACCCCTTTAAGTTCTTAAGTCCTCTCATTTTGTTCTAATTTTGCCCTAATTCTCCGCCTTCACCTACTTATTTTACTCATTTTGAAACTTTTGCTATTTGTGGAAGTGCTATTTTGCAAGCTTACTGTTTGTTTAGTGTGGTCTTAGAGTAAGCAGATGTGCTACTCAAAATAACAGAAGAACATGTTGCTTGTGACAGTTGATTCAATTATGCAAATCACTACATTATAGCAATTCCATTTCTTATGCCTTTCTTATGGTAAGCTGATGCCCTGATATTGTGAGACTTACATGAAGTTTCTGTCAAGGTGCCTGACGCTTGACAAGGATTTGGATTTGCAGCTGCAGCTGATTACTTCGTCGGCTAGACAATCTGCAGTTAGTAGACCGCCAAGGTTTATATTCTTCCTTCGCTCTATGCTTTGAATCTCTATGTTGTGATCTAATTATTTATAGTGATTTCAATGACATTTTCATTTACTTTGGAATGTTTGTATTATAAGCATATAGTGGATATTAAAAACATTTAGATACTAAAAATAATGAATGAGAGTATGGAGAGAACTGGAGGTGACGATGTGCGGCATTAGATAGAGACGGTGGAGGAAGCTGAAGATGAGGTGAATAAGCTGTGGCTATAACCAAGTTAGTCGAGAATCCTGATGATGCTGCAGAAGGGAGCAATGACAATGAGGCTTGCCGATGCATTTGACAACCCCAAGTGGGGAGAGCTTGCATTCCCCATTCAGGTTGCTTCCTCTGGGGTCCTTCCTGTAATTCATTCATAGGCACCATGCATCTTATCTAATTTGAACATAATTAAAGAGTGAATCAACGATGAAGTACAAGCAAGAAAATGGATGTAAATGATGATGGCTAGACATATTTTGAATACATATTCATTCATAGGCACCATGCATCATATTTAATTTGATCATAATTAGAGAGTGAATCAGTGATGAAGTACAAGCAAGAAGATGGATGTAAAGGATGATGGCTAGACATATTTTGAATAGATGGAAAGTGTCGGAAATGATGGTATTTTGCGTAACAATAGTATGAGATTTCAAATTAACTAAAACATAGAGTTTGTCAGGTGCAGGAGCAGTGCATTGTATTTACTTAATTTTGGGAGTATGGATTGAAGCTTTGGTTCACCAAATTATTTTAAAATAGGGAGACTCACAAACTGTGATTAGCCAGCTATTCTAATCAAAGAGGTGACAGGACATGATTTATGCATCTTGAGATGTTTAAGAGTTGACAAATGCAAGTACTGTGAATTTGCAAATTCCACTTTTAAAAGCAACATCAATTAATGTTTTTCATGTTAGGATTATAAGTAACCTCTCAACCTTATGAAGTGCTACTAAGAATGTGCGTGGAAATTGGAACGAGTAGTCTGAAAGAACAGTTCAATAATAAATATTTTAAAACATAAAGGGAGTTATATAGGCCATAATAAGCTCTAACATATAATGTAACTACCAGAAGTTTCATATTGCCCCAGAAATACCCTTTTTGACTGGATATTTAAGGTTATAATTGGATTCTAAATCTATCTCAATTTTTAAGAATGTGATTTATCTGCTTGGTTTGCATATGTCACTACTTCATGTTTTGGCTTTTTGATGTTGTGATTGTGATCTATGTTTTTGTCATTTTCCAATTGTATAGTCAGCTCAAGATGTGTTCTTTAGAACTTATCAACTATCAAAACATAAAGCACCTCCTTACCCTTATGATAGTTATGCTAACGAAGCTATGTCTCCGAATCTGTATCATACAATATTAGATAACCCCAAGTTTCATAGAATGTGTTAGAAACAGTAAATATACAAAAGGCCACGCACAATCAATATTTAAATCAAAAATATGTTATCGGTTTATAACATATTGATTATTTATATCTTTGTGTCCTTACAAAATCTTAACTTTCTGTTTTAAAATTAAATCATACTTGTAGTATTTATAGTTCCATTTGGTGGTTCTACTGTTGTTTTTAGGCCCTCTTGGTCAAGGTATTGCGAATGCTTTTGGATTGGCGCTTGCAGAGAAACACTTAGCTGCGCGATTCAATAAGCCCGATAATGAAATCATCGACCATTATACGTATGTACCTACTGAACTTCATCATATAAAACGTTGTTATCCAATTCAGTTTCGTGTTAAGTAGACTTACAGGGATCGGGTACTTTAGGTATACTATACTTGGTGATGGTTGTCAAATGGAGGGTGTTTCAAATGAAGCTTGTTCTCTAGCCGGGCACTGGGGTCTAGGTAAATTGATTGCATTCTATGATGACAACCACATCTCCATCGATGGAGACACAGAGATTGCGTTCACCAAAAATGTGACTGCACGATTTCAAGCACTCGGGTGGCATACTATCTGGGTTAAGAATGGGAATACTGGCTATGATGAGATACGGGCTGCAATAAGAGAGGCAAGGTTCCCATTTTTCTTTTAACCTCTTTCTTGTCTGTATCTAAAGATGTGTTAGCATGTAATTTACAAAGGGATCGGTTTTATGTAGGTAACAACCACCATTGGTTATGGATCACCAAACAAGGCGAATTCTTACAGCGTGCATGGGAGTGCTTTGGGTGCTAAAGAAGTTGACGCAACAAGATTGAACCTGGCGAATTCTTACAGCGTGCATGGGAGTGCTTTGGGTGCTAAAGAAGTTGACGCAACAAGATTGAACCTCGCATGGGCTCATGAACCCTTCCATGTGCCTGAAGAAGTGAAGAGGTCTGCAATTTCTAAAAAATTATTTTAGTCTGCCCAGCTACTTCATCCAATCTTTTCATAGGTAATGCGTTAATTTTCCTCTTCTATAGTCACTGGAGCCACCATATACCGGAGGGCGCTGCGCTCGAGACTCAATGGAATGCCAAATTTGCTGAATATGAG